AAGAGCTTGTCTTGGACTCGGATGGTGACATCGCATAAATGACCCTCGTTGCGCAAAGCGTTGAGCTTCTCGAGCATCTCCTGGCTGTGCGAGGTCGAGCTGTGGGTGAAGGTTTTCACCCCCATGTTGGAAGTCCTCTTTATCCAAAGGATGCGTGTCCTGCAGAGACAAGAAGTCATAAATAAATGCTTCAGTTTGGAAAAGAGTAGTATTGCCGCGCCAGTCCTTTCTACTGGTAACAGAAACGGATCGCTGTGAATATACTTTGGATATTCTCCAAGATCCTTTTTAAACCTGAACCAAACAATGTAAAAATGATACACCGTGTAGCTGCTGGTCAGGTGCACGACTAATTAGACATATTTATACATACATATGTCACATATTCACACTCTCCAGTCAACGCATGAGGAGAAACTCTGGTTCTGCATCAGCACGAGGACACTGACGAGCAGACTGGGAGGTCAGGGATCAAACCAGCGACCTCCTGAGCCACAGAGAAAATAGAAAAACACTCATGAAAAGATTCACCTTTCTTGTATTCACTTCTTGAGCTGTTGTTTATTATAAATCAGTCATAACTCAATCGCACCTCATTCCCTCACAGCAGTCTGTCCTCGTAAGCTCAAATTACATCACTGTTGAGTTCAGCTCAGGCCGAGACGCCTAAAACTGATCTTCTTTCTACAAGCTGTTGCATTTGGTCTGGGTCGGAGACCAGTTAGACTCTTCTGTGCTGCGTAACAGTTAGCCGTTAGCTTCAGCAGGTGTAGCTGTGAGCTCGCTGCCGCCCGTCTCCGCCTGCTCTGTATTCACAGACATCCTTCGGTGGAGGTTCAGTACTGTAGGTGTGCAGGGATTAGCTTTCCTTCCAACACAGATCAGACCCAGCGAGAGTCGGGGCTTATCTCGCCTCCGTGCTCACTGCCCTCCTCCCCAACTGTGTGACACGTATCTGGTTTTCACTTCACTTAAATCAGCAATCAACAGGAAAACACTGTAAACAGACACATTTAGGAGCTGAGGAAGTGTAACCTCAATCAAATGAGGTTAGATTACAGCACTGACCAAAATATCACCCTCCTCATGTAGCTGCTGTTATACTATAAACTATACTTGATTGTTGCAGCAGTATGTCGTTACTCATGGCTATGATGACTACTGAACAGTTTATATGTAGTCATCAGGCTGTCTCTGACGCTGCTGTTACACTTCCAAAGGACTAGGCTGGGTTTTAATAATCGATTCTGGCTTGGATAACGTGATATCTATTCATTAAAATCCTGAATCTATTTTTTTATATAAATGTATTTTGCCCAAAACGCCAGAATCTCAGGTGAAACCTCACAACATTTCAACAACCACCAAACAGCTAAGACAGTAAATGAGAGCAGGAACACGGATTCTGCACAGAGACATAAACACAAAGCTCGACCCGCCAACGCATCAGAATCAGTGAGATGTGACTTTCTCACCGACGGCACGGACACGGTCGGGGCTGAAAGCCGACAGCTCGCTGATTCTGATGCGTCGGCGTGTCGGCGCTTTATGTTTACGTCCTTTTTGCGCTGATTCTAAAGCTGTTAGTTTGATGTCTCTCCAAACAATATTGACTGA